GAGTACGCATCTCTTGGACAAAGTCCACCAATTCCTTGTTGCCCTGTCAGGCGGCAAGGAAATGCGCTCGCACGCGATATGCCTGGTTAGGCGGCGAGAACATTCGTGAGAGCTGCAATTTTAGCTCCGCCCAGGAGGGGAATGCAGCTTCGACCGAAGTGCCGCACGTCAGCGCCCATTCTCGCGCTCGACCACCGAGCTTCGAGATGGCTAGCGCTACGCGCTGTTGTCCGGTCTGGAGCATGTCGGATGCGAAGGCCATATCGACCTCTTTCACCCAGAGCAGGAGATTCTCTCCATCCTTCCCCTCAATACCTTAACGCTCACCATGAACGGCTTAGGACGGGAAATATCATCTGCCACTGGCGGTGGCGTCATAGACGCAAATGATGCAGACATCTTCTGCTACAGGTGCTCTAGCAGTGCGTTTTCGTATTTTGAAAACGCTTCTAGACGCGCACCGATTGCCTAGAGGCCTTGCGCCGCAAGGTGATGCACGCCCTCAGGGCCAAGCAAGGACATCAGCTTTTTAGGTCCGTCCTCCATGCCCTGGGGCAAAGACGAAAATTGTTCCATTCTCACAGAGGATCAAGCTAAACGACTCAGGTGTAGATTGACTACTTGTGCTACCTAGTGCAGCGGGGCTACCGTAGCTTTGCGCTTTGAGGAAGCGTAACTTAGGTCATCGACCTTTCGTCCTATACTTAGAACAAGTACGTGTTTAGCGGATCGCAATCCGCTTAGTCCAAGAGTAATTATTGCCTTAACCCAAGGCTAATTACTCTTCCGTTTAAAATCAAAACTTTTATTAATTTTTTTCTGCGGCAAAGCCGCCTAATTTTAACTGTATAGATTTTCCTAAATATATAAATACATGCATAACTACTGGCTACCCAGCCACATACCGTATTCTTGTTTGGGTGCGGCCACACCATGCCCATCTCGTGTGACACACACACCTGTTACCAGGGTTCGTGTAACCCCGTTACAAATTAGGTTCACCTATATTAATTAGGTATAACTATATTCATTAGTAAAACCTAAGGTTTGAGATATTGGCGGCTCCGCTGCAACTAAAACAGTTAAATACAGTTGCAATTTTGAACGGAAGAGCGTCTTTACCTTGGCTAAGGTTTTTAAGTACTCTGGAGGTAGCGGATTGCGATCCGCTACATTCGTACTTCTTCTTGTAAGGAAAGTTAGGTCGGTGATCTTTTTCTAGACAAATAGCTTTGGCAGCCCTGCCACACATTTATCATGGCCGATAGGCCTTAAACATTCCCCCAAGTAATAAGTGCCCCCAATTCTCTATATATAGTGACAACCACACAAGATGTGGTTTACACATATGTGTAATAGGACTGACCTGGCTTTTACTAAGCAGTACAGAGAACCTCCATCAAATTTTTTGTCTGGTTAGCGTTGCTATTTCAAGTGTCTATATACCAAGAATAAATGCTGCTAACTAATTCTGAATTGGTGTGCTCAACGTAGAAGTCCGTGATCCACGTGGACTGTTAGACTCACATCAAGAAACCTTTAAATATAATAAACATACAAATCTAGTATTAGCTTGAAAGAAAGTTATTTAAGATGGATGCCACTCTTAAAATGTATTTCTTTAAAGACTCTGGGTTCTGCGGTTTCCGAGTGAAAGTTTATTCTATGCAAGTTTGACGACAATTCCGTCACAGACTTCCTGTCACGTAGCGCAGGCGAGGAAACGTTGGCGGAGGAAGGCGAAGTCGGGAGTGCAAGGTGAGCGCTGGCGGAGGCTGTTGGTTAGGAGGCCCTGT